AAATCCCCAAACTGACAATTACACTTGACTTATGCAATTTATGATGATAGATATGGTCATGTTTCGTGGCTTTCATTATAATTACCCAGAGAGTAAACATCCCATACCTAACTGAACCACGTGAATGTTGTCATGCTGACTAGCAAAATCCTGCAAAGCCTGCAATTGAGAAAGGAAATGGTAAAAAGAACAGGTCGAATAAATAAAATATAAAAAAGCATCTTCTGCAATTTCAGTTCCAATATAGCAGATTTTCTTTTTATAGCCTTTAAATCCCTTTTATTTGGGTTGTAGTCAGAGAGACTGAGTAGAGCTAAGCATTTACTGGCTGTATGCCCTTTCTGATGCCTACACTGAGTTCACAACAAATATTTTAGCTTTCTGCCCTGATATCTGACATCTGCTGCAGGGATTGAACTCTCAACCTTCCGAGTAGGAGGCAAGCATCTTCACCTCTAACCCACCACACCATTCTTCAATTCCTCTACAGCAGAATATCTCAATGGATTTGTTTTTATCAGCAGCTATTATAATTTGCAGACTGTATTTTCTTAACTAGAACTAGCTGTTCATATACTTTTTTTTGTTTATATTATATTATTTTTTGTTTATATGTTGGTATTGTTGTTCTTTGTGTTAAATTCATTTAAAACAATCCGGGTGGTGCATAAACCAGGTGAGATTTCTGGTTCGGTATGTCTTAGCATGACATAGCCAAGTCACGTTGCATTATTCAGTGGATTGTGATTCAAAAAATCCTGGCTTAATCTTTTGTCTCAAATGCCTCAGGTCATTGATGCCTGCAGTGGAAGCCCACATCAGTACATTGCCCCAGCTTGTATCTTAAAGATGTTGAATTACAGTTGATCTTCTACATACCTTTGATTCAGGTCCACGAGGGTTCATACAAGTTGCAAAAATATGGCCCGGAAAAGGATTCGTTTTCACCAGCTCTTTCACCAGTCCAAATCCAATTCCCTGGCTGGTGCCCGTCACCAGGATATTCTGAGCTGTTTGAAACATCCTGACCGTTGACTTTTGCTCTTCAACCCTGTTCACCTTTGGGCAGGTGGTGACACCTGCATCTCCGAATAAGAAGAGGTTACCATTATTAGACTAGCCTGAAGTGGATTCTCCTGGAAGTATAAATACAATAACAGAGAATCCTTGACTTACAACTGGAATTGGAACCAGAATTTCCATTGCTAAGCAAGGCGGTTGTTAAAGAGAGTTGACCCTGGTTGTCTGACCTTTTGTGCCATGGTTGTTAAGTGAATCACATAGTCATTAATGGAATCTGGCTTCCTCCATTGACTTTGTCAGAAGCTGGTTGGGAAGGTCTAAAAATGGCCATCACGTGACTCTGGGTGGATGCAACTATCGTCAGTTGTACAAAAGCCCAAATTTTGATCATGTGATCATGCTGTGACAGTCATTAAGTGTGAGGACCAGTTTCCCCTGGCACAAAACCATTAAGGAGCGAAGAACATGGTGACTGCACACTGTACATTTTATTTGATGTGTATGGCTATGTAGCCATTTCTGCTACCGATCTATAGGGCGATATAATAATCCTCCACTATCCTTTTTACAGAATAAAGCAGAATTTCTAACACCTACGTTACGTACTGTATCTATAGGCTTCATTGTTGCGGTTTCATGGGTGTGTATGCTCTTCCTGTCTATGTTAGAAAGCTAGACCAAGACATAACTAGGATTAAATTAAGCTAAACCTAGGACATGTATAAGAATGTTTACAGGATTTGGGTTTGACTAGTCTAGAGAAAACAAGGACTCGGCGTGACGTGATGGCAGTATTCCAGTATTTGAGGGGCTGCCACAAAGAAAAGGGGGGATCTATTTTCCAAAACATCAGAGGGCTGGACAAGAAACAATGGTTGGAAAGTAATCGGAGAGAGAAGCAACCTTGAATTAAGGAGAAACTTCCTAACAGTGAAGACAATTAACCAGTGGGACAGCTTGCCTTCAGAAGCTGTGGTGCTCCATCACTGGAGGTCTTTAAGAAGAGACTGGACAGTCACTTGTCTAAAAAGGTAGCAAAGAATTGGACTGGAAGGCCTCCAACATCCCTTCCAGCTCTATTCTGAATTACCTGTATACATATAATATTTCTATCATTACTCACGGCTTAGACTGTGTAGTAAAAGCAGGTTAGAAAGTTCCTGCAGAGTCACAAACATTTAAGATTGGCTTTGCTATTCCTTATCTAATCAGGCTATCTTCCAGGTATCTTACCTGAAGCAAATGGAAGAGTTCCAAAGAGATAGATTGTCCTGGGCAATTTAGACCGAGGGAGAGAAAGAGTTTTATTTGTTGCGATCTATGACTGTCCTACACCCCACCAAAGCAGTATTGTATAACACTTTCCACCTCCTCCTTTCCCTAGCACCATCTCTGTGTTTCTGTCCTCCACTCCATCTAAAATTATGCCTTTCATACCCAAAACTATTTCAGCAACTGTAAGGACAAAGATAGCTTCCTCACTGACTGCATGACTATTATGACATCATTTCTCTGTTCCTAAGGTTATGATTGCCTGCAGTTTCATTCACTGGACCTCTGTTGATTTTGTGAGGTATTCATATATATTGCTGGTCCATAGATGATGTGCCGTACGCTAAATAAATAAATGTTGACCTTACCATCAAATGGAAAATTTGGATATTTTTATGATGCTTACTGAACTGCACCTGTGGGCAAGGTCATGAATATAGGTGGAAGCTTAACAACGAGAGATTACACTGTCCACAAAAAATGCTGGTTGTTAAAGGGAAACTACAAATAAAACATATACAATAAAAAAATCAAAAACAAAGAGAGATCCTAAGGGAAATTTCCTGACAACGAGAGCAATTAATCAGTGGAACATCTTGCCTTCAGAAGTTGTGGGTTGTCAACACTGGACGCTTTTAGTACTGCCCTCTAACCACCGTGCCACCACAGTGTCGATTTTATCATGAAATGGAAAATTTGGAGACCTTTATGGCGGTTACTGAACTGCAGCTGAGGGCAAGACCAGCAACCAAGGATGGAAGCTTAGCAAAGAGAGATCCTAAGGAGAAATTTCCCAACAGCGTGAGCAATTAATCAGTGGAACATCTTCCCCTTCAGAAGTTGTGGGTGCTCCAACGCCGGAGCTGGCTGGGGAATTCTGGTTGTTGATGTCCATCCATCTTAAAGTGGCTTAGATTTCAAGACACCATTCTATGGAAATAGTTACAATTAGAAAGACTGCAGGGTGTGATAAAAAAAAGTCCACACAGGACCATATAATTGAAGCTCCATCCATTTTTATATGAATTAGTACACCTAAAATAAAAAATTTAAGCTTTGATCCTGTTAGAAATAAGAAAATTCAAAAATAAAATGTAGGTGAATAGAATAGTATATTATAGTATTAAGAAGACCGTTGCTCTATAGACATTTACTATCTTGATGTAACCTGTAGATATATTTTCTAATACATTTACTCATTGTTAAACATGCACCTGCAATCTATCACATCCTCCTGTGTCAAGTAATGCCAGCCCTATGAATCGGTAGGTATCTCAAACTGTCAAGGCAATTCACATACACGTTTGACATAACAAAAGAGCACTTAGGAGGATAATGTGAGAAGAAATAAACCATGGCCCCAACTTTCTTTAATCAATTGAAGTTAGATTTTGTTTTTCAAAATCTTTTACTTTGCATAGATGTTAGAAATGCATATAAGAAGAAGTGCTGAATGTAACGATATGTAACAAGTGTGGTATTAGGAATAGATATTTCTTTGTTCTCAGATGGTTAGTAAAGGGGTCCTGCTGAAGGGACATTCTTTAATGCCAGGAAAGATAAGATGTGATGGGAGGTCATTGGGAGGTATCAAAGTAGATGATGGGGTCTCCATAAGGCATCCCGGATTAGCTGTTCTTGGTCACTGGGTCAATGTAGGAGGGATGTGGGGGAGTGTCGGGATAGAAGCACTATAAAATGTAATGATTGAAATCTTAGCTGTGGGTTCTTGGCTCAAACTTCATGTCGAAGTCAGCTGAGATACCCCACTCTTTGCAAACAGCCTCACAAAATAAAATCTCTGTGTTTTCCAAGTTTTTTGTCATTTGGATTCATTTCCAACCATCCCACCCTATCAGGCAGCATCTTGGTTTGTTTGTTTTTTAACCACATACAATTGGGCATCCTTGCTTACGCTATTTTGCCTCGTTTAGCTGATTATCGGGACTTAGAGACCCTTAGTCCTATTTTTGTGTACAACATGCCACTTCAGAGCAGTTTTATGAAAATATTCATTCAATGTTTATGTGATCTTCAGAGGTGATTATCCCTCATAATTTCTATTATGGTTTTTTTTCTTATTTTATGCAATGGGGTGCTGTTTGTACCATGCTTGAAGAGTCCTACACACACACACACACAAATCCACATTCACATATCACGGAGCAGAATGTTCCAGGAAGCAAAATTGTATTCAAAATATTCAAAGGACTTATTTTTACACACACATATAATAAATATATAATATAAATATATAAATATTTATAAATGCACCATTCTTTATATATAAATATATAAAGATGGTGCATTTTAAAGACGTGGTCCTTCCCCCATCATCTATTATCCCATCCAACCAATCTCGAATTATTAACTATTCTCTGTAATTAGATCTTCCCTTCCACGCCTCCCGGGCCAGCCCCTTCCCTTAATGGCGGCCCCCTCGCCGCCTTCACGCCCTTTCCTGGCAGACCACGTGATTCCCGTTTCGCAGCCATTGCATCAGCCGGCCCAAAACATCAAATCTCAGCATGCGGTGCGTAAATGCGGGCACTTTCCTTTTTTAAGATGATAGACAAGACTTGACACCAATCGCCACCCACCTTTCAGCCTCCAGGCCAATAGGACGTGCGAGCTAAAGAAAGGTCCGCCCTTTGACTCGGCTGCGTAGTGAGAGCGCCGCCGAAGCGACCTCGCGGGTTTGTGGGGAGCGGCGGGCGAAGGTAGGTAGGCTGTTGGAGGGGGTCGTGTGAACGGGAAGAAATGAAATAAACGCGTTTCTTCCATTCCGGCATCTCTTCTTGATTGTTTTCCAGGCTCAAAAGGCGGCGTCCTCCTCCTCCTCCTCGGTGGTTCTCTCCTCCTCCCCCACTTCCAGTCTACCCGGCACAACAACCCTGCAAGGTAGGCTGGGCGGAGAAAAACCGGCTCTGAGTCCTCAAGCGCGCAATAAACGGGGTGACGAGACGGTTGCTTGTATGTTGTGCGCATGTTGGACGATGGAGCCTCCTTTGCATTTTTGCCCCTTGGCTAAACTAGCTTCCCGCCTGTAAAAAGGATCTGGGCTTAGGTTGCTGGCTTGGGGTGGACAGTTGCTTAAATACCCCATGCTGGGTGTGTGTGTGTATGCATGTGTGTCCAGCCTTGTGTGTCTACAGAGCTGCTCAATCATCCAGGTCACGGATGTCCCAAAAGTTGTGCTTTTCCCCAAAAAAGATAAAATTGGACTTTCTTGGATTTTTTATTTATTTATTTTGTCAAAAGCTTCCAATACAATAGAAATAAGAATAAGCACAAGTTTAAATATAAGAAATAGGAACTAATAATTGGGGACAATAGGAGCGCAACGTTGACCACTCTGTTGCTGAAATCACTCTTCCAGCAATCAAATTTGTGTTTTTTCCACCCTCCTTTGAAAACATTTCACTTGTCATTCAAGAAGCTTCTTCGGTTCTCACTGACCGGTGGGGAAAGGAAAGACTTGAGTGTCACACCCTCACATCCTGGACATAAACTGTTTCAACTCCTACCCTCAAAACGACGCTTTAGGGCGCTGCACACAGAACAACTAGACACAAGGACAGTTTTCCCCTGAACGCCATCACTCTGCTAAACTAATAATTCCCTCAACACTGTCCAACTATTTACTAAGCATGCGTTACTATTACTATTAATCTTCTCATCACTCTTTATCACCCATCCTCTCCCACTTTTGACTGTATGACTGCAACTTTGTTGCTTGTATCCTTATGATTTATGTTGACTGTTTCCTAATATGATTTGATTGCTTATTGTACCCCATGACTATCATTAAGTGTTGTACCTGATGATTTTTGATGAATGTATCTTTTCTTTTATGTACATTGAGAGCATATGCACCAAGACAAATTCCTTGTGTGTCTAATCACACTTGGCCAATAAAGAATTCTGTTAAACAAACAGATGACTGCAAAGGATATAAATCTTTCCATTCTCCAGCGGTCAGTGAAAACAGAAGAAACTCCTTGGATAAGAATAGAAACGTTGTCAAAGGAAAACAAACAGAGTCCAGTTACCTTTTGAAAAGAAAGAAGGAAAAAAAACACCTTTTTGTAACTCAAACCCTGAGGCTCAGGGTGTCCAAGGTGAATTTGATTGATGGCCAGCAGCACTTCAGCCATGGGTCAAAGTGACATACTGTATCTTAAGGCCCATTAAGGACCCCTTGTCCTAAAGTGGAATCATGGCTTCATCTTAGCCTGTCCTGGGAACTTCGCCATTGTGGTTTGCAAATAGTTTAAGGGGTATCATCTCTTGTGAAGGGGTAGTATTTGCTATGTTACGGAGGAACAAATCCTCAGTTGTTGACAGTTATGTGTTAAAGGGCTTTGGCTTTTGTTCTAAGATTGATTAGAAAAAATGAGTTTTAGGTTTATGTAAAATTTGGTGTGGATGGCGAGTTAATTTCTGAAGCTGGGTGGTCTTCTACGTTTCTTAGAGGAATAAAAACATATCAGAGTTGGTAAGTCTTAAATATCCTCTGGGTGGTGAATGGAACAATGGTGGAAGATTTGGGAGCATGTTAGAGGCTCCGAGATGGCCTTGTATAAAAAAAGCCAGAACAAGGGAACACCCTTGCCTGGAGCAGAAGGATGGATCTGAAACCCAGAGGATTACAATATTCCTGAAGAACACTAGATTGTGGAAAATGCTGGCTGCAATCCACTTTGGCCAGTTGGACATTTCTCTTCTTTGGCCTGTTATTTTGGAAACTGCATTTGCGTAAGCTGTTGGCAAACTGATCATTTGCTTAGGCCTGCTGTGTAGGGAAGAGAGTGTTTTGCCACAAGTTTTTAACCTTCCCTCTGAAATTCAGAGGTTGCGTTCATACAACACCCTTAACTTGGAGACTGGCTGTGGATCCATTTGTGGTTTGCCTAATACACTGAATCAAAAACATTATAATCAATTAACTAATTCCCCTCTCAAAACCTTCCGCACAATATCCTAACTCTTAGCTCACCATTGGTACGAGAGGGATGACATTGTGCACGATGAACTTGAATGTGCAGCTGCCAAATCTTTTAATTCGTCTTTTAATGATTTTGTGCAGCCCTAAGCAGGTGGCTGATAAAGGTTTTGCTTTCTGCTCGACCCGTTAATATCAACTGCCGTAGGAGTTCTGATTTCAGTCAGTGCCGGCTTCAATTTGATCAGAAGGCCAGCAGCCATTGACAACTCAAGGTGGCAAGGACAGGTATTCCTTGACTTACAACAGTTCATTTAGTGGCCGTTCAAAGTTACAATGGCACTGAAAAATGTGACCACCATTTTACACAGTTATGACATTTGCAGCATCCTTATGGTGATGTGATCATAATTCCGAAGCTTGCCAACTGGTTCATATTTATGACTGTTATGATGTTCTAGAGATCCCCTTTGGCGACCTTCTTACGAGCAAAGACAACGGGGAAACCAGATTTACTTAACAACCAAGTTACTAATTTATCAACTGCCGTGATTTCACTTAACAACTGCGGCAAGAAAGGTTGTAAAATGGAGCAAAATCCACTTCGCGTATGTCTCACCTAACAGCAGAAATTTTGGGCTCAATTGTGGTTGTAAGTCAAGGACTACCCTGTGTATCTAATGCTCCCTCCTCATCCTATTTTCTTCACAAAAACAACCTTGCGAGGTGGGATGGGCTAAGGGAGAGTAACCAACCCCAGATCACCAAGCCAGCTTTCAGGTGGGACTGACATTTGATAACTTTTCCTTACTTTCTTCAATCTGGTGTTTCTTTTTCCCATCTCTCTCTCTTTCTCTCTCTCTCTCTCTCTCACCAGTGCTGGGCGGAGATCTCGCAATGGAGACCCTGACAGCCAGTGAGATCCGTCAATGCTTCATCAATTTCTTTGTGGACAACCAGCACAGTTACGTCCACTCGTCTTCTACCATCCCCCTGGATGACCCTACCCTCCTCTTTGCCAATGCTGGCATGAACCAGGTCAGTGATAACAGATGCCTATCAATTGGAGGGAATTGTACTCTCTTTTTCATATTCCAGGAATTTGGCGCCGACAAAAAGAAAATAGCAATAGCACTTAGGCTTATATACCTGTTCTGACTTAAGCTTCACAAAATCAGGAAACAACTCCTTTTCCCGACAAAACCCCTTTTTATTTGGCTAATGTGAATTCCTATCATTCACATCCGGTAAAGTCCAGGCAAACAGTCTTTCAAGGGTGAATTATAACCATAGACCTTATCATGCTTGGACAGTTGCCAGACTGATAGCTTCCAAGCACAAGCTGTCCAAGGAAATACTAGGAGTCTCTGAGAGTCACAATCAAATCTTCACCCTACTTAAATAAACAAATTGTCTCCTGCAAACACCACTCCCCTTTCGCTCCTCTTTATTCCCTATGGGAGGGGCCATTCACCGTCCAGCTGTGCATTTACTCCTGAGTCAACCCTTGTTCCTTAACTGTTCCCTTCTCCTGGCAGCTCTGTGCATGTGCACATTGGGAACAGGCTCCAGCTGTTCTTCTGCCCCACTGATCTCTGACTCTGAAGGCAGCTGATAACTGTCGGACAGTCCTGGCCTCATCTCTGCCGCCAATGCAGATCACTTGTCAGAGCCTTCCCCAGACTCTAGGACTGGCCCATGTCCCTCCCCAACCTCCTCACCGTCCGAATCTGCTGCCAGCTCCAATGGCCGTTGGCGGGCCTCTCTAAGCAGCTTACAGAGTCAGCCTATTGGACCCAACAATCTGGGTCTCATTTTACCCACCTCAGAAGGACGGAAGGCTGAGTCAGCCTTGAGCCTGGTGAGATTTGAACTGCCAAATTTCAGGCAGTCAGCAGAAGTAGCCTTGTAGTACTGCACTCTAACCACGGCGCCACCGTGGCTCACGTTTTAAAAACGTTTCTTAAAAGCTCTCCGCCTACTTTGCACAGAACTCCAGAAGTGAGAATTGTTTCCTTCTTTGTTATCCCAGTTCAAGCCTATCTTCCTCAACACGATTGACCCTTCCCATCCCATGGCCAAACTGACGCGGGCCGTCAACACCCAGAAGTGCATTCGAGCTGGTGGCAAACACAACGACTTGGACGATGTGGGCAAGGATGTGTATCATCATACTTTCTTTGAGATGCTGGGCTCCTGGTCTTTTGGCGATTACTTCAAGGTATGGCGGGAGCACAGCAGGAAGCTCTCAACTCGGATATTCTGGCCTCGATTGTGGGCATACTAGCAAGGGTGGGCTGCTGGGAGTTTGGGAGAGCCCCTAGCTGTGTGCAGTTCAGAGAACCCCCAAATCTCACTCCTGGCTGGTCCCACCCACGTCTCCCAGGAGTCCCCACACGGCCCGTTTTGGATGCAGGTAAGTGCAGGGTGAGTGGTGGCTTGGGGAGGGTGAAAAACGGGCCTCCCAGAATTTCGGGCCCATTTCCGTCTTCCAGAGAGCCTCCGGAGCCCGGGGAGGCCATTTTCACCCTCCCGGAGACTTGAGGAAAGCCTCCAGAGGCCAGGGAGGGCAAAAACGCCCTCCCCTCCTACCATGGTGCAGGAGGCTGACTAGGCCACACCCACCATGGCCACGCCCACCCAGAAACCGGGCAGAGAACCCGTTGCTAAAATTTTTGAGTCCCATCCCTGGCTACCTGTCTCTATGTGGCTTGGTGTTATTATTGCCGCCATTAGAAAAAGGTGACATGTGAAAAGTAGATCGTAGAGCGGTAGATCGTCCTGTCTGGCAAGACTTTCACAGCCCTGTTTTCTCTCTGTCCACTCAGGAACTGGCTTGCAAGCTTGCTCTGGACCTGCTCACCGAAAAATTTGGCATCCCCATCGAAAGGCTCTATGTGACTTATTTTGGTGGCAACGAGGCAGCCGGCTTGGAGCCTGACTTAGATTGCAAACAAATTTGGCTGGATCTCGGGTGAGTTGGGGTTACCCAAGAAATTCTTCCTTAACTGTCAGGAAGCAAACCCCCCAATCCTTCCCCAAAGAAGCGAAGGGGGGTTAAAGACCAGGCAAGGAGGTGTAAGAGAAATCACCTGTCTTAGTCTTTCCAAACTGTGCTTTAAATTTCCCCCTTTCTTTGCATCATGCAAAATCTCTTGTGCTCTAAGAAAAAAAATAAACATGGAATAAATTTAACGGATTCCAGGTTTGTTGTTACTTTTGAATTAAGAATTGTGACTTAGAAACAAGTTTACTTTAGTACAGTGCTTCTTAAAGTGTATTCCCAGGACCTCCAAAAAGGGTCTGTGAAATTGAAATTATTTGCTGTGTTTAAAAATAATAGTGCCTTAAAATCCCATCACTGTTTTTAGAGTCCTCTGTAATTTTTGAAAGCGGGAAGGGATCCTGAAAGAAAGAAAGAAAGAAAGAGAGAGAGAAAGAAAGAAAGAAAGGAAAGGAAAGAAAGAGAAAGAAAGAAAGAAAGAAAGAAAGAAAGAAAGAAAGAAAGAAAGA